AAGAAGAAACAGTAGGTATTTATTTTCAGTAAACTTACTTTGAATCTGGTTTTACAGGAAAGTTGGAAATGCTGAGTTTCCTTTTACTGCTGAATATTCAGTCTCCTCAAGGTTAGTATCTTCTGTAACCACAGGACAACTGTCAAAATAGCTGGGCATGATTTTTGGTGCTGTTCCTTCTTTTCCTGTCTTCACAGTCACCAAGCCCTGGCATTTCCACTTGCACATCTCTTAAACCTCCACCTGCATTGCTCTGGGCTCAGTCTCCACCATTTCTTGGAATGCTTCAGCAGATTCTGGCCTGCATTCTACTCTTAATCTTTTTCCCTTCTCCAATTCTTGTCTTGTTTTCTAAAATACTACCTTGACCATCCATTCCACTCCTCACTTAAAACTTTCTAATGGTTTTCCATTGCTTATAGAATAAAGCCCAGTGCTTTGGTTTGACAATACTAGGTATTTCATAGCCCTCTCCTAATCTAGCTAATTTCATTTCTTTGTTTAAATATTTATTTTGGGGGGGAAGGCAGACTTACAGAGAAGGAGAGACAGAAAGCTCTTCTGTTTGCTGGTTCAATTCCCAAGTGGCTACAATGGCTGAGGCTGAGCTGATCAGAAGCCAGGAGCTTCTGGGTCTCCCACACAGGTGCAGCATCCCAAGGCTTTGAGTCATCCTCCACTGCTTTCTCAGACCCCAAGCGAGGAGCTGGATGGGAAGTGGAGCGTCCAGGACACGAACTGGCACCCCTATGGGATCCTGGTGCTTACAAGGCAAAGATGTAGCCATTAAGCCATCTTTGCAGGCCCTCTTTTTTTTTTTTTTTAATATTTATTTACTTGAAAGGTAGAATTATAGAGTAAAGAAAGATCTTCCATCTACTAGTTCACTCTCCAGATGATAGCAGTTGCTGGAGCTGGGCCAGGCTAAAGCCAGAGCCTTCATGTGACTGTTCCATGTGGCTGGCAAGGGCTCAAGCACTTTGGTCATCTTCTGCTGCTTTCCCAGGCATATTATCAGGAAGCTGGATTAGAGATGGTGAGTTAGGACTTGAACCTGGCATCCATATGGGATGCTGGTATTGGAGGCAAAGGCAATCCACTGCACCGCAGTGTGAGCCTCTTCCTACTTCTACACCCTCATCTAACTTTACCTGGCCTCATCATTCGTCTCTGACTTCACACTTGTATAGCCTGCTTCTTTCACCGGTACTGTATTATGCAGTGTCAGAAGGGTAAACATTGCTTTGTGGAACTTTACTTACAGTTTTGTGTATGTATGTGTTCAGTCATGCTGCTTTCTGCTATTTCCGGTTACTTTCTTCTGCTGGATTGTATTTTTTTTTTTTTAATGTCATTTGATATCCTAAACCAGTTTCTTGAAGTTTGGAAAAGACCAGGAAGGTTTTGGTTCTTGAACAGTCGCAGCAAAACATTGCTTGGAACAGTCTTCTGACTCGCCCTCATCTGCTTCAGGTGAATAATAGGATTCATTTCTGCTCAGGTTTGGGGTGGGAAGGTTAGGTTGGAGAAGAGCAGCTGTTCTGCCTCAGGGCAGGGATGCTCAGCCTTGAATACTGGAGAGGTAGATGTGGAGGCCAACGAGGAGGAGCCTCGCAGGGCAACTGGAAGGGGTACTGAGACGGCCTGAGACTGTTGGTGTTTCTGATGGAGAGCAGCAGCTGAGCCAGCTGTGTGGGAACTGCGACCCAGAGTCCTGTCACCACCTCTGGCCTTGACCCTTTGATGGAAGTAGCAGCAATGCCCGGGCAAGAGGCAGGACATTCTCAGGATTCGTTCTAGATGTCTGGGCTGCTTAGTGCATGTGACTGAGTTAGCAGTGCCCTAGTACCCTTGCTGCGGGAAGTGTATTCCAAGATCTCCACTGTCCCCCGATCCCTTAACACGAGGTCTGAAAACATGGCTGGTGCAGAACTCTATCTTGGCTATGGTTTTTTCATATTCCTGTCCAGGATTGCTACATAGCGTCAGAGTTCATCTGTCCTTCCAGGTTTTCATTCCCTGGTGACAGCTTTGCATCGCTTCTGTAGGATTCTGGGGCCACTGTTGAGTAGAATAAAGGTTATTTGAAGCACTGCCCTATTTCAGCATTCTGATAACAAAAACCGCTGCTGACCAATGGGCAGATGGTGTATACAGTGTGGGCACTCCAAGGAATGAGGATTCACATCCCAGCAGGCAGATGAGATTTGATCACATGATTTGGAACAATTTAAAACTTGCAAGCTTTTTTTTTTTTCTTGGCATTTTACATTTACCTATGTTCAGACTTCAGTTGATCATGGGGAATGGAAACTGAAAAATGAAGCTGGCCTGGGTGGGGGAGGGGCGCCGTTTCGTGTCTGCGAGGAGAAGGGCCTGCAGCCTGCCCTCACTTACCTTGCTTCATGAGGTTTGAAGGGGGAATGCTTTTCAATGGATGCTGTTATTCCTGGAAGACTAGGACACTTACAACAAGAAAATCTGGTCTTTACGGTAGTATACAATTCTTGAACTGCCCTAATCACCATCTGCTTTTCCATAGGGTTAAGTCCAACTAGGTAGAAGTTAAAACCGTTTTATTTTGCTGGGGGGCGGGGGGAAGGTGGGAGGAAGGATCTAAATTTTAAGAATAAAGCACTGAGGTTGTCTTGGACACGTCAGGATCCCATATGGGCACAGGTTCGTGTCCCAGCAGCCCTTGTTTCCCATCCAGCTCCCTGCTGTGACCTGGGAATGAGGATGAGGACGGCCTAAAGCTTTGGGACCCTGCACCCACATGGGGACCCTGAAGAGGCTTTGGATCAGAGCATCTCTAGCCAATGTAGGGGAGTGAATCATTGGACAGAAGATCTTCCAGTCTCTCCTCTCTGTATATCTGACTTTCCAATAAAAATAAATCTTAAAAAAAGAAGAAGAAGAAGAAGAAAGCACCGAGACCTCATCAGAAGGATCGCATTGTTTCCACTCTGGACTTCCTCAGACAGAACCCTGAATGATGGGCCTGATGGCTGGCAGGAGCAGAGCCTGGGAGGGCGTAACCAGGGAGAACCTGCTGCCTTGCGCTGGGGTCAGCCCAGCGAGCCTCTCTGTAGGGCGCCAAGTGGTACCCCAAAAATTAGGAAGTGCTGGATCAGACGGAGGGGAGTGAGGCTGATGGGCCACGTGACCCTGGCAAGCAAATAGGACCTGGTAAGGACTGCATGGTCCTTGCCTGAGGGAAAAGTTCTTGATTAGCTAGTTTCTAACTTCTGAGTATCTGCAACCCTTTATGGATTTGCTGCTACATTCTGGTCATTGCCCAAGTGTTTTCTGTTGTCTCACTCTGTCTCCTCAATTTCCCAGAGTTTAGAATGATAGTGGAAGAATCTGTTGCTGGGTCTGGCCTTCAGCTACAGCAGAGTGTAATTTGCTGCTCTTCGTCCCTTCTTATGGGTGTGTTGAGGCTTTGGAACTCCTTGGGAAATCACCCTGAGGGGTGACGTCCAGAGCCTGTGTTCTGGCACACCCTCCACTTGTGCAGCACATCCCGACATGTGTCCCTGACAGCACCATGCAGTGACAGGCAGAGGAGCAACTCAGGTCAGCAAAACAGTGCACTGGCCCAAAGGACAAAGCAAAATGGTGGTTTGAGGGACCAAATGTTGTAACCATCTGGGGATTAAACCAACACATGGAAGATCTTCCTCCCTCTCTGTAATGCTGCTTTTCAAATAAATTTTTTTTTAAAGTAATAGGGCCTGGCGCAGTAGCCTAGTAGTTACAGTCCTCGCCTTGTAACTGCCAGAATTTCATAAGGGCACCAGTTCATATCCCAGCTGCTCCACTTCCCTGGGAAAGCAGCAAAGGATAGCCCAAAGCCTTGGGACCCTGCACCAGGAGACCTGGAAGAGGCTGCTGGCTCCTGGCTTCAGATCAGCTCAACTCTGGTCATTGTAGCCACTTGGGGAGTGAACCAACAGATGAAAGATCTTTCTGTCTCTCCTTCCCTCTGTAAATCTGACTTTCCAATAAAACAAACAAATAAATAAAATCTCCGAAAATTGCAAAGGAAACAAATGGATAAAGGAGTTATATTTTGTAAGGTAATACACCCTCGTACATGTGTGTTCTGAGGAATGATCGAGCAGACAAGTTAGTGAACAGGAGAGCTTTGTATCCAGTGCAAAAAAACGTTTTATTCAGAGAATGAGAAAACAGTCTGTGAGATGGGGATCACCTGCAGGGTCAAGAGAAACAACAGCAAATACAGCAACCCGATGATAACCTCGGGGTCCCTGATGCACCACGTGGGACATCCCCGCCAGCCCACCCAGAGCCCCTTGTGAGCCAGAGTGCCCTCTCCATCCTGGTCCAACTGAACATCTCTGCACACAAGCAAAACAAGTGAAAACGACTCCCCAGCGCACTGGGATCAACAAATTGCACAGGACATTTTGAAATGTTCCAATTTAATTACAACATATAAATAAATAAGGACAGACAGCAGCAGCACAGTGATGCACAGCCTGGTTTCAAGTTCTGCAGTTTGTGCTTTAGGTTCCCTCCGCCTTGACAGGCCCTCCCATCTGCCTTGCTCCAAGACTGGGAAAGGCCGGGAAAACCCACTGGACTCTCCTGGTCGGGGGTGCTAGCGCCTCATAGCACCTCTGTTATCAGCTCCCATTCCTACCATCAGGAAATCCCAGGAAGGCACTGGCCCCTAGCAGTCCCCACCGCTATGCAGGCACCCCAGTGGGAAAGGCTCTGCTCCCTGGGCAAGTTTTTCCAATTTCCTGTCCAAGCCCTTCTCCACCATCAGAGGTAGGGAAACTGCACACAGGACATAGGTCCCTGGGCCTTAAGTTACCAACAGATCACCACAGAGAGGCCATCCTCCCTGATCCAACCCAGACCCCCAACTCTGGACCAATGTCATCTTTTAGTCTTTTCAAGCCCACCCTTGGCAACTAAGGCCTAATTTCCGGTTTGGGAGCCTCCTTGGGCCAGGACAGGGAAAGCGGTTATTTCCGATGCTTGTCATCTTTCTCCGAAGCCTTGGTTTCACCATGCCCACTGCTTGCAGTGCTTAGAAACATCTTGTCCAACCCCTTGAGTGACTCTAGCAAGTAGTTCTGGAAGGCAGTGAGCGCGGCACAGATGGCAGGTCCACCGAAGCCGTGGGTGATGAGGCTGAAGTGGGTCAGGCAGCTTTGTACTCCAGGCTCCAGGATGAGCGCTGGGCGGCTGTTGCCCAGTGGTGAACGGTCCTGAGCCATCAAATCTGCAAACTCCTTGCAAATCTGCCTGGCAGGGAGAGAGGATCAGAGGAGTAAGAACTAACGCCTGAGCCCAGAGCGCACATCAGGGGTAATGAACCTGCCGATGGAAGATCTTTGACTTTCTGTAACTCTGCCTTTCAATTAAGATTAGATAAATCTTAAGATATGCATATAAAGAAGAGCTGACACAGAAGTATAGCAAGCTAATCCTCTATCTGCTGCAATACTGGCATCCCATATGGGCTCTGGTTTGAGTTCCGGCTGCTCCACTTTCAACCCAGCTCCCTGCTTGTGGCCTGGGAAAGCAGCAGAGGATGGCCCACATCCTTCAGTCCCTGCACCCACTTAGGAGACCTGGAAGAAGCTCCTCCTGGCTCCTGGCTTTGGTCCGGGCCAGCTCCAGATGTTGTGATCATTTAGGATGTGAACCAACAGCGGATAGAAGATCTGTCTTCCTTACTCCCTCTTTTAAGTAAAAATAAATCTTGAGGAAAAAGAAGAAGAAAGAACCAAGGCAATAGCAGTATGAGTCATGGGATGTTCTTGGATGTAGCTGTGCAGTCAGGTGAGCATGTCTGAGTTGAGATCACAGCACCAAACTGTGGTGAGAGAGGCCTCCCTTGCCCAGGCCTGGAGGCCTGTTGGAGGTCATGGGAGCAAAGGGCTGATGGGCCAGGTTCAGACCAAGTACAGGCGGTGGTGATAGGTGCAGTGGGGATTGTGGCCTAGATGACACTGTCATGGGGCAATGACTGTAATGCCCACACATGGCCAGGGTTAGCCAAAATGTGGTCCTGTTTTCACTGCTGCTCAGAACCCATACATGTGGTCACATGTGATGCCCATATATTGTGTGCTCATGAGTGGTGTCCATTGTATGTATGTGTGGTGCCTGTGTCTGCATGTATCCCCTGTGCGTGTGTGTGGAACCCCTGACAGTCCTCACTCACTTGGCAGCCAGCAGCATGCTCTTGCGGCTGTGCAGTCCCCCGGGGTCAGCATGCTGTCGGCACAGGTACTCGGCGGCCGCTTTGGCTGGGAACTCAGTTTCACAGACATAGCCGAAGTCTCGGGCCAGGTGCACAGCCTCTCCTGGGGAGAAGGGATCTGTCACTGCTGCCAGGTGTAGCCCAGCCTTGAAATTCCAAGTCCCTGGAGGGACTGCCCCATCCTGCTTCCATAGATGCTATTCTCTGATTGGCCTTGCAGCCCATCTCTAACCCACTTCCAGCCCCTATTCCACTGCTCACCCTTGGGGACTCTGGGGCTGGGCTCTGGCCTCAGACTGGAGCATGGCCCACTGTGTTGCCCAAAGCCCAGTCACCAGCCTCAAGGAAAGGGGCTCTCACCTCCTTGGCCCTTTACCACATCCATGACCACTTCTCACCCTACACACATGTATGCTACAAGGAGCTCTTACTGCACATACATGTGTGTGCATCATACAAACACACAGAGGCCAGATACCCACATGCCACACAGAGTATACACACAAATACCACAACTGCACACCTCCACTTGCGGTCATGCTCACCCACCCGGGGTGTGACTCACTCACCCTCTACCAACGAGGTCAGCAGGGTCACGTTGGCAGCCTTGCGACGGCCAGCCGGCAGGTTGAGCCCAATCTTCTCTAGCCGCTCCCGCAGGCACCGGCCCCCATTCTTGGACTTGGCCCTTGATGTGATAGGGAGAGATAGAACACAACTATGAAGCAAACAGAAAAGCAGGTGGGCTAAGTGATCCTGAAGGACTGTGTGCCCTCACCCGGCCCTGCTGAGGATCAGAACAGCCTTGGCCATGCTCTGGGGACCCTGGGAAAGCTCTAAACCTCTCCTGACCTTACTGGTTTTGTAGCCAAGGATCCAGCCCCAGGTCCTTCCTTTCTCCCTGGTCCTCTCAACAGCAGAAAGAACCCATGCTGGAGCGGGATAGGCCAGCCTCTGGGGTCCTTGCTGCCAGCCTTTGCTTGCCAGTTGGGCCCTCACCCGGCACCCAGGCATGTGCAGAGACAGTTACATGGGAGACAAGTGCACGCGGCCACGTGGGGAGTCACACAGGCACACGGATGAACACAGGTGCATGCAGAGATACATTCACCCAAAGCCAGGACCCCAGGGACTCCCAGAGCCCCCTCTAGGAGGCTCAGAAGGGCAAGGAATAGGAGCTAGTCCCCACAACTGCACAACACAGCCCCGCACTTCTGGAATGGTGCACACAAGGCCAGGTGCACATGTGCAACCACTCCCTTCCCCCACCCATGAAACACTGCAGCCCTACATCCCAGGTCACTCATGCTCATGGACACCAACACCGCTGACCAGCCCTCAGTGCACACATCCACACCCCATAGGATAGCACACACCATTCTCCTCAGACTCATCGAAACTCCCTAAGGCAGAAATAGCTCTTGCACGCACACACACGTGCATGGAGAGATGGACACATGGCTATGAAGACAGATGGTCAACTACCATGCTCCCCAGCCCCAAGCACACACCAGCCAAGGCCTATGAAGCCATCGGAAGAGGACCTTAGGTCCTGAGGGAGGGGTTGAAGATGGCATCCTCTCTTCCCCAGACTGAGCTGAGATGCCTGCCCCCTGTGGGTGAGTCCTCCCATTCCTTCTCTGTGCCAAGGTTCTGCCCCCAAGCTGTAGAAGCAGCTGGAGACTCAAGCCTGCCCCCATAGCATGCACAATGCAAGGCCGGGAGCACACAGGGGGGCCTGGTGTGAGGCTGGCTCTCCCCGAAGAGCGGAAGAGCCCAGGGGCTTTCTCCAGGGTGCTGTGCAGGGGCTGTGGGCTGGCTTTCCTACCTGCGCAGGACGCCCCCCAGGAGGGAGGCATTGAGGCACTCCGGAGGTGAGAGTCGCCGCTGCACCTCCCCCACCGTCACCTTGTACTTGGACGTCGAGCTGAGCAGTGAGAGCCGGCCAGGCACAGAGCAGAAGACCTCACTGGGGTGGGTGATGCCCCCCACCAGGCTGTCTTTGGCCAATGAGATGGCTGAAAGGCTGCTGGCTTTGGAGGGGATGGGAACTGTGGAGCAGAAGCAAAAGCAAGAGAGAGAGGGCGACATTGAGCCAGTGGTCACAGCACAGGGCATCGACAACAGGTCAACTTCACACACAGAGAGGTTCCAGCGCCTTTAGGGGGAGGCTCTGATACCCCACTTTACCAAGACAGAAACAGGCATGCTGAGGTTACAGACACTCGTCCAAGTTCACACAGCTAATGGGTATGGATCCTGAGCCCAGGGTCCTGCCTGTAACCTCCCTCTAAACCCCTAGGCAGTTTTGAAGAGTTCCAGTATTTGGCAGGAGCCACAATGGCTGGGGATAGACTAGGCTGAAGCCAGGAGCCAGGAGCTTCTCCCATATGACTGTAGGGACCCAAGCACTTGGGCCATCTTCTGCTGCATTCCCAGGCACATTAGCAGGCAGCTGGATCAGAAGTGGAACAACTGGGACTCAAACAAGAGTCCATAACGGATTCCGGCATACCACAATGTCAAACCCTAGAGGTTAAGTTTCTAAGTCACTTAGATACTCTTGGCTCTAAGACAAAGTTCTTCCTGAAGTCTAATCTTGTACTTTTTAAAAAAAGATTTATTTTTTTTTTATTGCAAATTCAAATATACAGAGAGGAGGAGAGGCAGAGAGGAAGATCCTCCATCTGATGATTCACTTCCCAAGTGACCACAATGGCCTGTGCCGCACCGATCTGAAACTAGAAGCCAGGAACCTCCTCCAGGTCTCCCACATGGGTTCAAGGTCCAAGGCCTTGGGCCGTCCCTGACTGCCCTCCCAGACCACAAGCAGGGAGCTAGACGGGAAGCAGAGCTGCCGGAATTAGAACCGGAGCGCATATGGGATCCCGGCACATTCAAGGCAAGGACCCTAGTCACTAGGCCACTGCTCGGGGCCCTAACCTTGTTTTTGACTGAGACGTTTGCATCTTCCAAGGAAGCTGGTGGCCTTCACTTCCCAATCCTTGGAAGAGAAGACACAGCATGTGCAAGGAGTCTGGGGGTGCCTGCTGAGCTCTCATCACTCTCCCAGGCCCCCAGGTCAGCCCAGGAGGGGGCTGCACTGTTAGTTGGCACTTCACCAGTGAGGGGCACAGAAGGATTCCAGAGAGGTAAAACACTATAGCCAGGGACCCAGCAGCAGCCCAGGACCACCGACGAAGGGTATGATGTCTTCCAGCTGTTCACACCTGTGGTTCACAGCTGGGCCAGGCCTCAGAAAACAACCAGATAGATGAGTGGTCCTTCATCTGCCAGAATCCATCCCCTTGCCCCTGTCTGGTTGGACTTTCCCAGCCAGGAGCCTCCCTTCTGTACCCTGTGCTCCCCTCAGTGGTACCCTGTGCTCCCCTCAGTGGTACCCTGTGCTCCCCTCAGTGGTACCCTGTGCTCCCCTCAGTGGTGCCGTGTGCTCCCCTCAGTGGTACCCTGTGCTCCCCTCAGTGGTACCCTGTGGTCCCCTCAGTGGTACCTTGTGCTCCCCTCAGTGGTACCCTGTGCTCCCCTCAGTGGTACCCTGTGGTCCCCTCAGTGGTACCGTGTGCTCCCCTCAGTGGTACCCTGTGCTCCCCTCAGTGGTACCCTGTGCTCCCCTCAGTGGTACCCTGTGCTCCCCTCAGTGGTACCCTGTGGTCCCCTCAGTGGTACCGTGTGCTCCCCTCAGTGGTACCCTGTGCTCCCCTCAGTGGTACCCTGTGCTCCCCTCAGTGGTACCCTGTGCTCCCCTCAGTGGTACCGTGTGGTCCCAGATCTAGCCCACTCTCTGCACATCTATCCTCGCTCACTACCCCAGGAATTTCTGCACAGCCCCTTCTCTGGGCTCCCTGCCTTTCATGTGTCAGTTCCTACAGGGTCACATGCTGGCTGGGTAGCCTATCCGTCGATGAGTGCCCGTGGTCCACCACGTGATGTATGTGAGCAGCTCTGTGGAGTGAACATTTACATCCTTATCCCTTGTCAAAATGAAGTGACTAAGGATGGGCGTGGGGATACAGTGGTTTAAATCACCGCTTGGGACACCTGCATATTACATCTGAGTGCCTCGTTCAAGTCCCAGCTACTCTGGTCTTCTGATCGAGCTTCCTTCTAATGCTCCTGGGACATGGCAGATGAGGGGCTAAGTGCTTAAGTTCCTGCTACCCATGTGGGAGACTTGGATTTCCTGGTTCTTGGCTCCTGGCTTCAACCAGGGAAGCCCTGACTGTTAGGGAATGTATTAGCAAAAAGAAACATTCTCTCTTTCTCTTTCACTCTGCTTTTCATATAAGCATATCTTTTTTTCTTCACATGAAAAAATTTTGAAAATTCAAAGCGGTTCCCCTGCACAGCCTGTGAGAAGCAGGCATTGCACTCCAGGGTCTGCCTCACTCTCAGCTGGATCCTACCCACCCCTCTTGCCCACTCTCCACTTGTCCCCAGGGCTCTGGACCCTGCCCAGCCAAGGGATGCTACCTCTGAGCCACATAGTCCCTTTTCCAGTAAATGCATTGTACTGATAGCCCATCTCAATTCAACGTGAGAGCGGATGCTGGACTGAAGCAGCCACCCTCCACCACCGACCACTGACTGGGCTGAGCATCACCGAGTAGGCCATAAACCTAATATTCCATTAGGCAGGTTCCTTCCTCCCCCAGCCGGTCCAGCAGGGACCACCCCCTGTGTGGAACTTCCCTGGGCCTGTGTTGACCACCCTGACCTCCCACGCCTGCTCCCACCCTTTCTGCCCCCTCCCCCCCAGTAGACCAAGGATGGGTCTGGGCATGGGCAGCCATCAGTAGATGCAGAGTGAACATGTGGTGAAGCAAGGGCCCCTGGATCCCAGTGGGGAAAAGGGCGATGGTCAGAGGTCAGGGCCAGGTGAGGGGAGTCTCAACCCTTTGTTAGGTAATCCAGCACAGCTACCCTTTCACCCTGCTCTGCAGCCTGGCACCAGAGAGGGACCCAAAGATCCCATTGAGGTGGGTAGAAGAATGAACAGAACCCCTCCCCAGGCAGTTCTCTGTTCTCAGGGACAGGGTCAGAGATAGGGTAACAGTGAAGGGAGCACCAAAATACTCAGAAACCAAGGTACATGCGTGTTAGCACAACATTTAAAAAATAATAATAATGTACGAGCCAGTATTGCGGTGCAGCAAGTTAAGCTTCCACTTATATGGGCACCAGTTCAGGTCCCAGCTGTCTCACTTCCCATTCAGTTCCCTGCTCATGTGTCTGATAAAGCAACAGGAGATGGGCCAAGTGCTTGGGCCCCTGTCATCCACATGGGAGACCTGGACAGAGTTCCAGGCTCCTGGCTTCAGACTCGCCTAGCTGCCATTTGGAGGAGTGCGGGAACTGTAGGAGTGTATGCCAAGGTTGTAACATAGAGTTAAGCAGCTTTACTTGGGATGCCAGCATCCCATATCAGGGTGCTGGTCAGGTCCCTGCTACTCGGCTTCCGATCCAGCTCCTTGCCAATATGAATGAGAAGGCAGTGGAAGATGGTCCAAGTCCTTGGGCCCCCACCATGCACCCAGGAGACTAGGATGAAGTTCTTGGATCCTGGTTTTGGCCTGGCCCCACTCGGGCTGTTGAGAAGAGAACTAACAAATGCAAGATCCCTTTATGCCTTTCTCTTTTCTCTGTCACACTGACTTTCCAACTAAATAAATAAATCCTTTTTTAAAAATGGCTAGAGGGATGAAATTCAAGGTTAGGGAAGCAGGTAGGCTAGGAAGGGGGTAGGTAAGGAGGTGGGAATTAAATCAACACTCATTGAAAGAGCAGACACAGAGGCGGCTTGTCCTCAACATCAGCATGATGGCTCCTCCTGTGACCTCGGTGACACGCAAGCGCTCCTGACTACTCAGCCCTTCAGAGGAGACACACACACGTTTACACACTTTGCCCACGCATGGGGAGATAATCAAAGGAGCAGGCAACAGACTCTCCAGAAACATTGCAATTCCTGGGGCCCGGCGCTGTGGCCTAGTGGTTAAAGTCCTTGTCTTGAACGCGCTGGGATCCCATATGGGTGCTAGTTCTAATCCCGGCAGCCCCGCTTCCCATCCTGCTCCCTGCTTGTGGCCTGGGAATGCAGTTGATGAAGGCCCAATGCTTTGGGACCCTGCACCACCATGGGAGACCCAGAGGAAGTGCCTTACTCCTGGCTTCAGATTGGCTCAGCTCCAGCCGTTGCAGCCGCTTGGGGAGTGAATCATTGGACGGAAAATCTTCCTCTCTGTCTCCTCCTCTCTGTATATCCACCTTTCTAATAAAAATAGATAAATCTTATTTTTAAAAAAAAAAAAGATTGCAATTCCTCAGGCCTGGCACGATGGTTCAGTGGCTAAATCCTTGCCTTGCATATACTGGGATCCTATATGGGTGCCAGGTGTGTCCCAGTTGCTCCACTTCCCATCCAGCTCCCTGCTTGTGGCATGGGACAGCAGTAGAGGATGGCCCAATTTGTTATAACTTTGGGTTGAGTAGAGTATCTGAGACTGGAGCCAGCGCCATGACATAGTAGGCTAAGTCTCCACTTGCGGTGCCAGTGTCCCATAAGGGCTCTCGTTTCATCTTAACAGCTCCACTTTTGATCCAGCTCTCTGTTTATGGCCTGGGAAAGCAAAGGAGGATGCCTCAAAGCCTTGAGCTCCTGCACCCATGCAGGAGACCCAGAGGAGGCTCTGGTTCCTGGTTTCACATTGGCTTAGCTCTAGCCATTGTGGCAATAGTGGTGGAGTGGTAAGCCAGTGGCTGCAAACCCCCCCTCTCTCTCTGCAGAATCTGCCTTTCAAGTAAAAAGCAAATAAATATTTGTCTTTTTAAAAGGAGTATCTGAGACAGCAAGCATGACCATAAATAAAATAAAAAACAGGATTACATCAAAACTTAAAACATTTGCACCTCAAAGACTGCAAAGAAATATCAAGACAAACCACAGACTGGAAGTAAATATTTACAAGTTATATTTCTGATTATTTGTATCCAGAAGATATAAAGAATCTTTATAACTCAATAGCAATTTAACTCGAAAATTGTTAAAATACGTGAATAGAGAAATAAACAGAAAAAAAATGGTAAATAAGCACACAAAACTGTTCAATGATGCAAATCATTAGAAAAATGAAAATAAAAACTATACTGAGCTAACCCAAGATGTTTACGATAACAGACAATGCCAAGTGTAGGTGAAGGTCTGGAGACATTGAACAGCTCCCAATAAAAACATATTTCCACACAAGTGCATGTCTGTAAGTCAAAGCAACATTATCCAGCATGGCCGAAGAGCAGAAAGAACCTCAGTGTCCATCAATGAAAGAGAACAGCAGCAGAATGCACTCCAGGCACACCATGGATACTACAGAGCAGGGAAATGAATCAGACGCCCAGCACGGACACCAGGGATGAGACCCAACACCGTGATACCAAGCAAAAGAAGCAGGTGCCAAAGCTGCATATTTATATATGCACTTATACAACATGGCCAGAATATGCATATATATGGACAAGAAGCAAATCAGCAGTTGCCTAAGGCACAGGGTAAGAATGGGAATTATGAGCGCTGATTCTAATCCTAGTGGCCCTACGTCCCATCCAGCTCCCTGCTTGTCGCCTGGGAAGGCCGTGGAGAACGGCCCAAAGCTTTAAAGCTTTAGGGCCCTGCACCCACGTGGGAGACCTGGAAGAAGCTCCTGGCTTTGGATCAGCTCAGCTCTGGACATTGTGGCCACTTGCAGAGTGAATCATCGGATGGAAGATCTTCCTCTCTGTCTCTCCTCCTCTCTGTATATCTGACTTTCCAATAGAAATAAATAAACCTTTTAAAGCAAAGAATGGGAATGGACTATAAATGAGCAGGAAGAACTGTAGGAGTGCTGGCCATGTCCAAAATGGATGGTGGTAACAGTTACACAACTCTGCATTTACTCAAAGCATTGAACAGTATATTCCTTTTTTTTTTTTTAAGATTTATTTATTTATTGGAAGGCCAGATATACAGAGAGGAGGAGAGACAGAGAGAAAGATCTTCCGTCCAATGATTCACTCCCCAAGTGAGTGCAATGGCTGATGCTATGCCGATCCGAAGCCAGGAGCCAGGAACTTCTTCCGGGTCTCCCACATGGGTGCAGGGTCCCAAAGCTTTGGGCCGTCCTCGACTGCTTTCCTAGGCCACAGGCAGGGAGCTGGATGGGAAGTGGAGCTGCCGGGATTAGAACCGGCACCCATATGGGATCCTGGTGTGTTCAAGGCAAGGACTTTAGTCACTAGGTCACTGTGCTGGGCCCTGAACAGTATATTCTAACATGGGGAGAAGTCCAGGTATGTAAGTTTTACTTCAGTAAATCCACTTAAAGACACCAAGTACCAGGGCCACAATTCCAGGGAATTGTGATGTCCAAGAAACCTACTCTTTTAAAAAATAAATAAATTTTTTTTTAATATGCAAGGCATATTTATACTGAGAGAGAGAAGCTTTTTGACGGTGTCTTCATCTGCTTCAGCCAATCCTGGGCTGCTTGGAGATTCCAGGGGGAACTCAGACCCCCTCCCTTTCCCTTCCCCAGAGCTCAGGGAAGGGTGATTGTTGCCTTGGGACCCTCTCCTGAAGCCCCCTTGGGATTGGACAACCTGGCCTACCAGAAGGAATTCTCCCACACATCCCAAAGGTGAGGGACATCTTCCCAGGTCTCGTCCTTACACCACACCTGTGGAGGACCTCAACCAACTGTTTTTAATCTCTTTACCCTATGCACAAGCAGGGAATACTCCCTGTGCTGGGCCCAATAGGGTGAAAGCATCTTTTAACACTTTCTCACCCATTCATTCACCAAACACTTAGCACGCACCTCCTGGGGACGTCCAGGCAGCACCCTAGGCTCTCCAGCTCCCACTCTGAACAAGCTCACCCAGTGCTGGCCGCTCTCTGCACCTCCCAGCTGGGAAACATCCCGGCTCCAGCTCCATCCCCGCCTCCCAGTCCTGTTTTCCGCCAGCTCTGGAGCAGGTGGCAAAGCAAAAGGAGGACAAAGCAGGCTGGGAATGGAAGCCAGCCCCTGAACCACACTGGAGCACCAACAGGTGGATGGCCAACAGGGAAGCGTTGGGAGAAGGGGGGACTTCACAGAATTAAAAATCAGTGGAAATTCCACACAACCTGCCCCGAAAATCTAGGACCACAGAGCTTCTAGAGCTTCCGGGGGGCCTCTCTCCTAGCGGCATTGGTGGAGCTGAGGCTGGGGCCTCTACAGAGGTCACTTCAAGTGTAGAAAAGCTCAGACTAGGTGTCCCTCCCAGGACTGCAACCCACTGCTGCCCTTGAGGCCAAGACTGGGAGGAGCTTAAGGGCCCCGTTTTTTGTGCACCCGGAATGCGGTACCTTCAGTTCCAGAGTGCCTGCGGGGAAGGGTCCCTCACCGAAGACAGGTGAGGCCACAGACAGTCTTCAGATTATACCCAGCCGTCCCAAGCCAGTGGAAAGGACGCCAACGGCTACCCCAGGGACTGGCTGCAGGGCACAGTGGACACTGCCTACTGTTCCGCCACTGGGAGCAAGCGGCAGCCAGGCACAGCCCCGGGGATTGCACAGAGCAGGCTCACAGCTGGGGCACCTGACCCAGGCTCCCCTCATAAGCCAGGGGAAAGCAGCCTGCCAAGCTCGTAGCTTCAAGCTTCTTGCCACTTCCCCCTGGGCTGCGGTGCCTCAGGCTGGGATTCTGCATCCAGAGTGGGGTCCTAGGCGCAGCCTCCACTCCGGTTGTCCGTAGTCACTGACCAGCCCACTGGCCTGTGGGCATGGACCTGTGGGCTCACAGCGCCCTGAAAGCTCCCTCTCCCATTCCCGCCGCACTGGGCACTCCCGGTTCTGCCTTTGGGGATCCAGCACAATTCAGTCCCTTTTCTTCTTGTCTCCTGGCTTTGTACAGGTGAAAGTTCTCAGAGCAATGGCTGATCTTCCTCCATCTCCCCAGGGCACAGGTCTCCCAAGTTCCTTTCCTAAATGCAGTCTGGCCTCCTGCAGTGGGTTAGGGAACCAGGGTCCTGGCCCCTTGCGTTCTGGAGGAGTGGGGCAGGGAAGTGGTGACTGCATGACTGTGGTAGCATCCCTGGCAGGTGGGGGGCCCCTGCCCCGCAGACCAGCTCTCCCTTCCCTCCTGCAGAAAATGCCTGCTCTCCATGAAAGCCATTGAGATGAACACCAATAAAGACATGAGTCTGGTGCCAGCATCCTGGTCTTACCCTTGAAATGAAAGCCTCAGAGCCCTCCCCACCACGCACACACACACACACACACACACACACACACACACACAGAGGCACACACACACACACACACACACACACACACACACACCCCTCAAGTTCCGGACATCCAGTCCCTCACCCACCCACTCCTTCCAGCCAGCTCCCAGCCCCATCTCACCCCCTACTCCCACCCTGCGCCTCCCCTGAGAGCAGGTGGGGTGCAAAGAACTTGGGTTTGATCACCTGTGTGAAAAACAACTCCAGCCAAATCCCACAGGCTCCTTTGTGCTTGGAATTCCCTCCTGCACCGGCCCCAATCCTAGGGCACCTGCCCTTCTCCTCCTTGCCTCTTCTCATCTCTCCCTTCCCTGGCACCCCAAGCATTTGTGCCTCCGTGGCAAATCCACCAAGTTGGGTTGTCCATTCCAACTTTTACTAGTGCAAACGTCCGTGAAGACCCTCACAGACCCCCCCCACAATACAGAAAATTACACGCCAATACCCCCACAAACATCACCACACATACGCTAGAAGCGGAAGGCACCTGCTGAGAAAGGCAGAGACACCCAGGAAAGGAGCAGGAAGCCACACACCGTGGTCCTCAGAGTTCACACTGAAAACCACAGCGGCAGCCTAGAGCAGGACTCACACCAGCTTCCCTAACAGTGCCAGAGGCTTCGGCTGAAAGCAAACTGCCCGGAAGGTACTAGAACCCCCAGAAGGCCAACCCAGCAAGGCCCTGCCGACCAAGAAAGGCCAAAAAGCGCCTCCAGGCTCCGCAGGGCTAAGGTCCCATAAAATGAAACCACTGAGCAAATCCCGGGGATCAAGACTCCCCTGCCTGCCTCTTAGCAAACACGAAGCGGTCAAACTCACTCCGCAAATTAACTCCAGCGCTGCTCTGCTGCCTCCTTTTCCGCGAGCTGCAGCCCCGGGGAGTCCCTTCCCACCGGGGAGTCCCTTCCCACCCGGGCTCTGGCCAGCACCGGGTGGCTCGCTCCGGGCCCAGCTTGCCTGCCATCCAGCACCCTGGCCGGTGCGACGCAGCCTCGCTGCCCCTCTGCTGGGCCAGGCGACGTACCCTGTGTGTATCCTGTGGTCACTGCGTCTTACCCGGTTTTGCCCCGGCACACGCGCCGCAGTCCCTACCTTTTTTGATCACCGACTGGTCCAGGAGGCTCATTCCGGGATCCTCCATGGCCTGTAAGAAGAGGGCGGCGGGCGAGGACGGTGCGGACGGCGGGGCCGAACCTTCCCAAACTCCCCGCGGTGCGCGATCCCTATCTGCTCCGTCCAACCCTTGCGCACCCTCGTCGCCTGGGGCGGCCACCAAGGGGACATGGAATCGGCTGCGGTTCTGAGGCCCGTTCTCAAGCGGGCTGGAGGACGCCTGCAGGTTCACCGCAGACAGGCAACTGCTGCGCCTGTTTGCCCCAGGCAGCCCGGGACTGGGCACTCTGCTGAGCTTCTAAGCTCACAGCGGAGGGGAAGGAGCAATTCAGCCCCGCCAAGAACTGCGGCCATCCAGCCTTGGGCACGGATTCAGGGCCGTATCAAGTCCAGTGGGGCGCATATTCGGAGGGAGGAAACTCAGGTGTCTGCATCATTCCCTTTGTTGCCCCCAGCCAGGGAACAAAGTCCCCATGGCCTGTCCGGGCACTTCCCCGAGCCCTGCCGCCTCACCTGCAGGTCTTCCAGGCCGGGTGGCACCGCCAACCCCGGAAGGCCCAGGGGTGCGTCGGCCAGGCCGTGCGCGCCGTCGGCCAGGCCGTGCAGGAGACGGGGCACGGAGGCGGCGTAGTCGCGTCGGGGATCAAGGCCCAGGGCGCGGGCGCGCGGCGCCAGGAGGCCGGGCGGCTCGTCGTGGGCGCGGGCGGTGGCGCGGGGCGCGGCCCAGGTGGCCTGCGGAGCTTGTGGCTGCGCAGCCAGCGGCGCCAGGCCGCCGTACGGGTCCCCTGCCAGGTGCGGAAAGGCGGCGGCGTCGGGCGCTTGGCCGTATGGCAGTGGTGGCTGCGGGTAGGGCGGTGGGAAGTAAGGCGGCTGGAAATCGGCGGCAGCAGCGGCGGGCGTGTGGCAGAGCGGCGGCGCCGGCCCGTAGGCCGCCTGGGGCAAGGACGACAGACGGGTCCCGCTGGCCGCTGCGCCTAGCCCGTCGGGGCGCTCCTGGGGACGGGAGAACGGTGCGTTAGGTGCCGCACTGGCACTGAAGTGATTGCAGCCCCAAGGCTCCACCTAAGTTCGCGGGGACCCCGCTGCCATCCCTTCCCGGGGTCCGGAGTCCATCTCCGATGACCCGCGGGTGGCGGGACCAGCACTCTCCCCATGGCTCCCGCCCTCCAGGATTTCGTTGCTTCAGGGACAGAAGCCTAGCAGAGTGCAGCGCTCCGGCTCCTCGGACACCCCCCTCCGCCCTCGGCCCAGCGCGGCTGCTCACCATGGCAGGGTAAGTGTGTACCAGCATTGGGCGGCTGGGGCGCGGGGCGTGGTGGCGGCGGCGGAGCCCTTGCCCGACGGCGAACGCTGCGGGCAGCCGGCCCGACCCGTGGGACTCTGTGAACCGCGGCCAGTGCACCAGAGCCCGGGGCCCGGCTTGCGTGCGTGGGGTCCTCAGCTGCGAGTATCCCCTGGAGGGTCCATGGAGGCAGGACGGGCGCCGTTGGCACTTGGAAAAGTCGGCCGGCAGGTGCCTGGCGCCCGTCCTTCTTCTGAGCGCAGCCGGCTCCATGCACTCCAGTTATAGTGGCGGGGGCGTGCCACGCCTCCGGGGGCGCGCATTAAAGAGACAAGCAGTGGCCGCGCTCTTTCCGCTTCCCAGTGACCACCGAAGGAAAGGCGTGGCTTTGGCGAGATCCACGGGGTAAGTGGATGGGGAACATGAATTGGATCCCTATGGATCTGAGTCGCCCGGGGGCTGGGAGCTGGCAGTTGATGGGAAACAGAAAAGGATTGCAGATTGAGTCTCAGCTGCTCTGGCAAACTTGTCTTTGAGCAAAACGCTGCGTTTGGCTGGCCTCAGTTTCATGGTCTGTAAAATGGGTGTCAGTCGTTTGACCACGTCGCCACGCTTGGCATGGATGGGCCATGGCGAATGTGGAGATCTGCGAGAGGTAGACTCCTGTGCACATGTGTGTCTGTGAGCTCGTGTGTATCCATGCATGTGTGTGCTGAGGGCCTGTCACAACCTCTAAAGAGGCCATGTCTTCCAGGCTTCCTGAAGCTGGTAACGCACAGTGGCTGGAGTCGGGATTTGGAAGGAAGTTGGATACACGACAGGGCGGGTGAGGGGATTGCCTAGGAAAGGGTTGGCGTAAGGTCCAAGGGGCAAAGGTGTCTGAAGCTGCGCAGCAGACAGCTTGGGGGTGGCAAGTCCTTCATTCCGCACTGAGCACCTGAAGATGGGAGGTGACAGCTACCCAAGTCATCACCACAACTCATTCCCAAGGTGCTTAGCGCCGAGGGCGCCCCGCCCCCCCCCGGCTCAGAATCTCTTCTGCTCGGTTTTGGATTGAGGGAGCCTGACATTTAATCTGAGTCTGTTTTTTTTTTTCTTCAATCTGCAACTTCAACCACTGCTGAAAGCAGCCCCAACAGGAAGAGTAGAAAGGCTTTTTTTTTTTTTTTTTTTTTTTTTTTAAATCAGAGCAGTCAGTGAGATAGCAAAGCTTTCAGCGCTGAGACAGAGGAAGGGAGGGCAGGGGAGGGTGAGACCATGAACATGCCTAGAGTAGGGGATGGAGGTGGGACGTCCCGGGAGGCACTGGGCAGATGCAAAGCGCAGGCCTGGATCATCCCAGCCTTGGGTGGGCTGTGGGGGAGTGGAGGAGGCTAGCAGCTACGGATTCATTTCTTTAAAAAATTGATTGGGGCCAGGTGCGGTGGCCTAGTAGTTAAAGTCCTTGCCTTAGGTGGAGGAATCCACTATGGGGGGAGGGTTGTGGAAGGGGTGGGGGGAATCCCAGTGCCTATAAAACTGTATCACATAAAAAAAGAAAAAATAAAGTCCTTGCCTTGTACGTGCTGGCATCCTGTGTGTGCGCCGGTTCTAATCCCGGCAGCCCAGCTTCCCATCCAGCTCCTTGTTCCCCATCCAGCTCCCTGCTTGTGGCCCAAAGCCTTGGGACCCTGCACCCACGTTGGAGATCCAGAAGAAGCTCCTGGCCTCTAGGTTTGGATTGGCTCGGCTCAGGCCATTACGCTCACTTGGGGAGTGAATCAGAGGATGGAAGATCTTCCTTTCTGTCTCTCTTCCTCTCTGTATTTCTGCCTTTCCAGTAAAAATAAATCTTAAGAAAAAAAGATTGATTGATTCGAAAGGCAGAGTTACAGAGAGAGATCTTCCATTTGTTCTGTCTTCAAATAGCCACAACCACCAGGGTTGGGTCAGACTGAAGCTAGGGGCCAGGAGCTTCATCCGGATCTCCCACGGGGTGCCATGTACTTGGGCCACCCTCCACGGACTTCCCAGGCACTTTAGCAGGGACAGGATCAAAGTAGAACTGCCAGGACAGGAAATGGTACCCATATGGGATGGCAGCACTACAGGTAGTGGTGCCTTAACTTGTCACACCCCAGGATTCATCATCAAAAACTTTGAAGGTTGGGTGGCAGTGTGGTACAGTGTGTTAAGCCGCTGTGTGCAATACTGGCATTCCATATTTAAGGGCAGGGTTGAGTCCTGGCTGTTCTGCTTCTGTTTCTGTTACTGACGCACCTGGGATGGCAGTAAGTGCATCACCTATAGGAATATGGGTCACCTATATGGGAGACCTAGATGGAGCTCTCGGCTCCTAGCTTCAGTTTGGGCTAGCCCCTGCCACTGCAACCATTTGGGCGAATGAGCCAGCAGCAGGTGGAAGATCTCTTTCTCTCTGTTTCTCTGCCCTTCAGATGAATGAAATAGAAAATGACTTTCTGGAGCCTGGACTCACCGTCTCAGGGTGAATGAAGTAGGCTAGGCAGCTCTGTGCCCTGTCTGTGCAGGTCGCATCAGGGGCCTGGAGTGTGCTTGGGAATGGAGACAGCTTATGACCCCTCCATCTCTTGTCCTCAACCTGCAGGTGTGGTCTCAGTGCCTGGCACACAGGCTGATGGGTTCCTCTGCGAGAAGTCCAAGTGCATGCTGAGGAACAGGACACTTCACTCAGCTCTGGGCACCCGCAGGCTCTCCCCAGCAGCTGTGGGAAGGCCACAGTGGCAGCTGGGACTCTGCTGGTCACTTCCTGAAACTTCAGACACCCTGTGGCTGCTCTGACCAGTCCTGCCTCTTTCCATCGCCCACACCCTTCATGTCACTTCCTCACTCTCAAGAGTAAAAGCATTTGCCTGTTTTTCCTATTCCACACTTGCCACGTGGGTTCCTGCTAAGACCCTGTCTGCTGGACACCCCGTCCGCTGTCACCTCCCGACTGTGTCAGTCATGGTCTGCACCCGCCGATCCAGAGCTCTGGGTACCACCAGCCAGTCTGCCCAAAAGAGTGAGATCCTTTCATCACCCCAGCAAGCCGATCCTCACGGAGCACTGCCTTTTCTCACCCACGAGCATTTGCCCTTGGGATGTACGTGGATGAGATGTGGGGTTGTCCTAAAAGGCTCGCAGCTCTAGTCTCTGTCTCATTTCTCATAGGACGATGGTTCTTGAAGGATCAGCAGCATCAACAGCACTGTGGAGCCTGTGAGGGGTGCTGGTTTGGGAGCCCATCACAGATTGACTGGTGCAGTAGATCCTGGGGTGGGATTTACGATATCCTGGAAGGGGGTCCAGATCACACTCAAGTCTGAGAAGCAGTGCTATTGGGCATCTGCCAGCGGGCATCCTGGCTTCACTCACTCCTGCCCCTCTGCCATCCGGGACTAGCTCTGTTCAGTGACAGGAGTGCCTGGCTCATGCTGCAGCCCCCAACCCCAACCCTGAGAATTCTCCTAAGGAGCCCATCACTCATCTTCTGAAACAGAGGTCTAAACACATTGAGCAGCTTTCTAGGCTCTGTGGTTGTTTTTAACTTTGCTTTCCTGCTTCATAAAATAGGGGGAAAAAATGGAGAAAAAAATGTAAATATGCCTATCACTGGTATGTGTGTGGCATTCATGGCGTGTGGTGTCTATGACCACACTGGTGTGTGGTGTGCAGGAGGGGGAACAACAGAAACAAATGTTGCATGAACTCCTCTGTCTCTTTAGCAGTACTTCAGAAGGCTCCATGTGGATACGGTCCTGCGCTGCTAAGAACCTATGTTTAATCTGACACACATGTGACTTGGGCTACAGCAACCAAGGATGGTCTCTTGACTGTCCCCCTCAAAGTCCCAGGTCCTTTGGTTTCAGACTCTGGGGTCCTTCTCTTTCAGGCCCAAGAGAATTGTCGTGTTGTGAGACACGGAAGTTGCACACCTCCTTGTCTGGGATGCATGTGAAGATCATGGGTGCATGCAGAGTTTCACACACCGACACTGCTGGGAACCTGAGCACAGAACATCTGCAGACATTCACGTGGGCCACGGGGCCACAGGGAACACGGAGACGGGGCTTCACAGAGGTGTGCACGCCGACTCCCGGGGGGCAGAGTTGGCATGTTTCCTACATGGGTTCCCCTTTCCTCCTAGTTTTTCTCCCTTTCCTTTTCAGTGAACTTGAGTTTGAACTTCATGTTAAGAAAAACCAGAAAAAGTTCTGGGGCTGATGTGATGGTTCGACTGGCTAATCCTAAGCACCAGCATTCCAGATGGGAGCTGGTTCAAGTCCCAGCTGCTCCACTTCCCATCCAGCTCCCTGCTTGTGGCCTGGCAAAGCAGTCAAGGATGGCCCAAAGCCTTGGGACCCTGCACCTGCGAAGGAGACCCAGAGGTGGATTCTGGATCTTGGCTCTGGATCAGTGCAGCTCTGGTTGTTGCAGTCACTTGGGAAGTGAATCAGTGGACGGACAATCTTTCGCTCTTCCTCTCCTCTCTCTGTAAACATTTGGGTGTGAACCAGAGTTTTTTGTATCTCCTTCTCTCTGTAATTCTGCATTTTCAGTAAAAATAAATACATCTTCAAATAATAATAAAAATAATAATAAAGAAAATCCCTCAGTCCTGCTTAGCCTTGAACATCTCCTGTTTCCATCCTTACATGTGTAAGGTGGGGAAATCTGGCAGCAGATGTTGAGGCGCCACCTCGTGGTTTTGTCTCATAACTTCATCTCAGCTCTTTTCATAATTAAAAAAAAAATGTATTTATATTTATTGGGAAGTCAGATTTACAGAGAGAAGGGGAGAGAGAGAAAGAGAGATCTTCTGTCCACTGGTTCATTCTCCAAGAGACCACAACAGCCAAAGCTGAGTCGATCTGAAGCCGGGAGCCAGGAGTTTCTTCTGAAGTCTCCCACATGGATGCAGAGTCCCAAGACATTGGGCTTTCCCAGGCCACAAGCAGGGAGCTGGAAGGGAAATGGAGCAGCCGGGACACAAACTGGTGCCCATATGGGATCCTGGCACATGCAAAATGAGGATTTAGCCACTAGGCTATCATGCCAGGCCCTCTTTTTGCACTTTCAAGTAAATGATTGGGAGCAAGCAATCTTGGTAACCCAGCCCTCCTCGCAGTCCAGAGTCCAGACCTCTCCAACCACACACCTCTCTGAAGTCCAGAGTTCGGTGTGCCTTGTACTACAGAGCTTTTCAGGATCTGATCCTCTCCCTGCCGCCCCAGGCACAAGGGAAGCACCTGCCCTGCAGGGATGGAGGTGCTTGTCTCGGTCCTTCCCTCTCTTTTCACTTCTCCAGGTGACCACAGCTGTTCCATAAGCACAAATTCACTGTTTGTTGTACAAGTCCATTTCCGTGGTGGTGTCCCCTGGGCCAGTGAAGATCTTGGTCATCCAGCCAGTGGCCTAGACCAGGAATGTGGGAAGTCACCCTTGGCTCCCTGTCCCCTTTCCTCATCCCTTCACAGTCTGGCCCGCTGACACCTTCCTGTCTCTTCCCCACCCCACTGGGGCTGGCTTCCTGCCTCAGTCACCCCTCTGCTGGCCAGTCCTCTTTGTTAGATGTAAATTGGAGCACATCTGACCCACCCCTAGACCTGCAGTTGGCCCTTGCGCAGACGATCCGTTGGGTCTGCTTCACAGCTTGGCCTGCTAGGACCTGGTCCCTCTGGGCCTTGGCCACTGATGCAGCTGCATCTTCCACCTCTGCCCATTTCCTGCCTACACTGCGGCAGTACTGAACATGGACAGTTCTGAAGCCTGCCGGCCTTTTGTGTGGGCTGTCCCTCTGCTTGTGCACCTGGCAAGTGCCTCCTCGCCTGCCAGTCCCGAAGCAAAGGCTTACTCTGCATTTTTCTGCACCTGTTCATTTTAGCCAAGGGCTCCTGGGCCCCAGGGTCTGAGATTTTTCACATTTTCCACCAAGAATCCAGGCTGTGTTGCATGGAGGTTTGAGGATCTGGGTGCAGGACTGGAGGGTGCGGGCTTGGGTTCAGGCCCATCAGGTGAGGCTCTCTCTTGCTCTTCCCACTTGGCATATGGGTCAGCAGCCGGTACCAGCTTCAGTCTGCCTGTTTTTATTGGGTTGGTAGTAATCTCTGATTGAAAAGCAGGATTTCACAAGTGAGTGAGGATTCCTGGGGCAGAGGGGACTGTGCGTTTCTCCAGAGCCTCCCCACTACTGCCTCCAGCTGGTGGGTGTGAACCTGAACCCATTGGGGCATTGGATGAACTGCAGCTGCATTGAGCCCTGGCTCGGGCATTCATAGCTACCATACCTACGACAAAAAAATCACTCATCCCTGCTTCAGCTTCCTTATCTGTCAGGCTAAACAACATTGCCCTCTTCCCAGTGTTCTTGGGAGGGCTGACAGAGGCAACATTTATGAGGTGCACTTGGCAGGGTATGTGCTGGGCGGATGAGAGCTGGGAGCATGTGGTGGGAAGAGTAGGTGCAGTGCAGACCACACAGAAAGCTCCTTGTCACCAATGAACATTTATTGAGTGTCCACATGTGCACAGCTTTGAACTTGGCGGTTACAGAACGCGCTGGGGGTGGAGGTGGGGAAAGCAAAGAATCAGGGGGTGTGTGCATTATGTGCTGGGGTGGGGTTCCCCCTGGGTTCCCAAGAAAGGTGGTCTCTGCTGGAGCCGCCAGGCGCGTCTCTCTGCAGAGAGGGCTTGTAGAAGGGGCTGGGGTTTAAGCCAGGCACCACGGTGGCAGTGGGGTGCAATCACAGGGGAAAACATGCGGATTTGGGGGATGTGCCCTTCCTGTTCCTGGCCCCTGCCAGGTGAGCCACACAGGGATCACACGCTCAGGTGTCCAAGCAGGGATAAGGACAAGCAAAATAAATACCCCCCACCCCCAATCCCTATAGCCACTCTGCTGCAACACGAAACAAAAGCTTGGGGACCCAGGTCCAATGAGCCCTGGGTCCTCTTGAGGAAGTGCAGTGGAAAAGGTTTGCCACCCTCCACTGGGCCTGTCCACCCCAAGCTCCCCTAAAAGACAGGGCCAAGTTCAGACCCTGGGGCGCTCTAGTTGATAGGAAGAACTGTGATGTCTCTGATGTCTATGGCCCGAGCCTGCTTTCTGCCCAAGAGGTTGAGGGCTGCGGGGCCAATTTGAAGGACGTGGACCTGGAGGGCCAGCGGGGGATGCCACAGCCTTGGGGAGCCCACGCCCTGGCCGGCAGGGCACATGGGCAGAGGCAGTCAGCTCCTGCCAGCCCTGTTCTAGCTTGGGGCCTCCCCTCCTGTGCATGGGGGGAGCCAGACATCAGACACAATGACACCTCGTGCCCCCCTCCCTGGGGGCTTGCTCCAACCTTCCCCGGCCTGGCGGGGGCAACCACGTGGATTTCCAAGCCGACCCCTGCCCCCAAGGGGGGCTGGCGGGACGGAACGCAGTTCCTTACATTGGAGGGGTGGGCGCTGTACCCTTGTCCTCGGAAAAAGCCAGAAAGCTGGGGTGTTTGTTGAGGGGGAGATATCTGGGGAGGGGATCCAGTTTGGGGGCTTCAGGGAAGATGCCTCCTCCCTCCTTCCCTCGCTGCCCGGCCTGGGTCTGTCCCCAGTGGCCATCCCCTCAGGGCTCTGCCAGACATTGCTCCAGGGCAGCCATGCGGTAGTGGCTGGCTGTCTCCTCACCTGCCTGCAGCCTCATGGCCTCCCGGCACAGCCGGTTGGCCCGCGCCAACTCCACCAGGACACCCTGGTAGGCGGCCACCATCTCGGGTTTGACGGAGCTAGGGCTGACACTGCCTAGCAGCTGCAGCAGTTCCTGGGGCCAACGGGAGCGCAAGGCAGCGGGAGCCAGCCAGGGCAGCAGCGGCACACAGCCCGTGAAGGCCTGCATGCCCAGGAACCAGAGCTCCTGCAGGTCAGCCCAGATGCCCTCGTAGTCAGGTGACAGAGCCAGCACTGCCTGCTCTGAGCCGGGGGTGGCCCGTGCCACGTGTGACTGAGATAGGAAGAGGATGGCGGCGGCGAAGAAACCTCGGGATGCTGGTGTTCCCTGAAGAGCTGGAAGACAAGGAAGGGCAAGGGGGGCATGATGGGCCAAGAGCTGGGCAACAATTGTGCTCTCCCCCTGCATCCTGGATGCTTGGGCATCTGGTACCCCACCTCTGACACTGGCTGTGTGTCTTTGGTAACAGGATGTATTGGGATGTATCAGCTTCCTCGCTTATGCAATGGGATCAGTTGCACCACCCTCAGAACCTTGCTAGGGGGATTAAAAAGTGATACGCTTAAGTCCCTCTGCAGGTGTAGGAGGTGGGAGGCAGCTACAAGAGAACTTTCCTTCAGGTTCTCAGGGTGGTAATTGAAGCTGCGCCGTCTAGAGCACTTCACCAGGCTAAGGCAGCCACGACTGTTTGATTCCAGGGCCAGCAGAGGGCGCCAGAGGGCAGCAAGAGCCGCTCTGGCTGACCTGCCCACCACCCACCATGAAGGGGCTCTCCAGGAGGCTTCTTCTAGCCTGGCAGGACTGTGACTGCGATGGTCCCTAGTAGGGAACTGCCAGAGAGTGTGAGGGGCTCCTGGCCCACAGGGACACACTCTCCTGCCTACTGTGGGTACCCTGTTGGGATCTCCACCCCGGCAAGGGGAACATGGAGGCAGCTGAGGGGATGGGCACATTACACCCTGTTCCCGGGCATCTGCTCAGCTCCTCCCCGCTGACAGATGGGGCACAGGGAACAGGCGGGGACAGAGGGACCCAAGCAGACACCCACGGCCAAAGTGGGAGACACCAAAGGGCTGCAGGGGGCTGGAGGGGAGGCCCTCTCCCCTTGCAGGCTGTCATGAGGCAAAGCTGGGAGAAGAGGTGTGCAGAGGGTAGGGTGGTGGGTAGGTGGCTGGGTTTTGGGAAGGGGTGGGTGTGCTGAGCAGAGAGAAACCTCAATGGAGGAGAGGCAGGTTTCTGACTCAAGGCCTGGCTGGGGGCGGCTGCTCCACCTTGCAACAGGATTCAAATTCCTGGGGCTACAGGGATTCCAGGTGCCTCTGCTTTGCTCAGAGTGGGCCTGTACTTAACACCCACCAGGCCTTGCCTTAGAAGCCTTCAGGAGTGAATGCTATCATTTCAGCAAGGCAGGAGGGAGTGGAGGCTGGGTGGGTGCTGCAGAGATCATTGCTTCATACTTGGAGATCATTTTTCTGAAAACAATGGACCTGCTCCTGGAATGTTGCAGTCCCGTCCAAGTCTCCTGGCCTCCCCCCTCAAGTCCCATTGCCCCGCTAGTGAGGGCTTACCTGGAGAGGTGCTAAGGAGCCTGGCCATGAGGAGGCCCAGGGTGGCCACGTTGGCGGCCAGAAGCAGCCGCCCCTGTTGTTGCACGAGTGCAGGAAGTGATGTCATCAGGGTGTTCATCAGGGATGTGAAGCAGGCGTCACGTCTGGGAAGGAGGGAAGGCAAGGAGCAGAGAAGGCAGGGGTTAATAGAGCCAGATGGGGCCCTTTGCAAAGCCTGCAACCTGGGGATCCCAGCTCCATGGGGGCCAGAAATCGGGCAGCAGTGAGAGGAACTGCTGCTAAGATGCCTTGGGCCTCACCCAAGCCATCTGGAGTTGGCGGGGGTGGGGGTTGTCCCAGACTGGGTTACAGCTGCAGTGGGTAGAGGTGCCCAGAGGCAGTACTTGGGGGTTCTGGCTATGCCGGATCCTTGCGTGGAAGCAGCTAGACTTGTCTGTCCATTCAGGAAGCTGCAGGCGTGCAGAAGCAAAGTAGGCAGCCGGGATGGGAAGCCACTGTGCAGCTCTCTTAGCTTCCTCTGTCCCCCTCCCCAGCCTCCCCGAGCTCCCTCTCACTTGATGAGCCCTGGTGCAGTGACCACGAGGTTGAGGAAGATGTGGCAGCAGGTCTGTAAGCCGATCTCCACACTGTCGGGCAGCACCGAGGTGTCATGCCCGGGGGACGTGAGCTCCCATTGCTGCAGGAAGTACTTGCAGAGGAGTGAAGGGGCCCCCTCCTTGATCAGGATCTCCCGGGGTCCATCTTCAACAGTCAGGTGGCACCAGCCAGGCAGAAGGAGCCTGTGGGGCAGGGGAGGGGCACACGATGTGGGTTAGGAAGTGTGAAGGCTCCAAGACTCCCTGTCAGAGGGCACCGTGGGAACAGGAGGGGCAGGGTGTGTCCTCAGGGCGCATGCACGGGGTCACACGGGCCCAGGGTCAGACCCGGTTGGTGCCTCCTGGGGAGCTGGCAAGTCAGGCTTCTTCCTCTTTTAACATGTGAATGAAGCCCAATCAGCTCTGCCCCAAAGCAGATGCTCAGTAAATCACCCAAGTTCTTTTTATTTGGGGGGAGAGGGCTCAGCAAGTGGGTCCCCTGAAAACAGTATGAACAATCCTGAGTGAATTCTCAAAGCACATTCAGGGGGCTAGCCAGTTTCAGGGGGAAAGAGAAGTGACCCCAGGTGACACTGTTCCTGCAGAATGTACCCGCAGGCTCACCGGAGAGCGTCCCCTGGCCAGCTGGGTCCCGGGGTGGTAGGGGAGATGGCCAGGGTAGCCACTTGCTGGGAAAGGTCTCCGGTCTCCTCGGCCTCCTCGTACAGGGTCTTGGCATAGCGGACGAGGAAGGGCAGCAGCTGGCACACTTCCTTGCGCAGGGATGATGTCTCCTCGGCCAGCCAGGCGCCCAGGATCCGCACCGAGGCAAACACGAAGGGTTCCTTCTGCTTCTCTGACCCCACCTATTTCCCCCGCAAAAGGACCACTTTGAGAGATGAAGCAGGACCAGAGACCCTCCCTGGCCCTACCAGCCTGCAGGCCAGCCCGGAAATTTCCCAGCTGGAAGGCAGTTCTGGTCCGTTAGTTCTTCCAAGGCAGGCACCAAGGCTTATTCTGCCCAATGCACCCCACTTTCAGCACCTTGGACAGGGGCTTACAGGGTGGGTTGGAGGGTGGGTTTAGGGTTTGGAAGGGGCCCTTAGTGCACATCTGCTGGGTAAGCTGCATCTCAGAGCAGCCACCCAAGGCTAGAAGGAAGTTCACAGGGAAAACCCAAGCAAACGCTCCAGAGCAGCAGCTCTGATCCAGGGTCACGAGATGTACTTCTGGCTCCTGTGTAGACATCCGCAACAGGATGAATTAGAAAGTGAGACCAGAGTCAAGTATGGTGAGTGGGATGCAGAGTCGGTGAGCTCAGTGGCTGGAGCAGATTATTAAATAGATCACGGTTAGGACTGAATCCTGTGGGGACAGGCTAGCTGGCTGCTCAAACAGCAAGAGACGTGACTGGGCACTGTCAAACAGATTCAGTAAAAGCTCTGTAGAGGCGGGCCCAGACAGCCCCGGGCCTTTCTATGCACCATGACACGTGTGTGCGTGTGTAAAACAATGCTAGAGTAAGCACAACAGACTCCTCTGACTTAGTGTGTGGCGTGTAGTGTGTATGTCTCTCCAGAGAAGCACTTTGAGTGGGAGGTTACCGTGTCGCGTGTGTGCGTGCTGGGAGGTGAGTGCACATATGGTGAGTGGTATGGTGCTGGTATGCAGGCTCAGGGCGGGGAGGGGGAGCGGGTGATGGGAGGCTGGGTCACAACTCCTCAGAGTGCTGTATGCGGCAGCTGCGATGTCATCCCACATCCCCCTTCTGTCCCCTGGTCCTGTGGCTCCTGGCCTGGTGGGCCAGGTCATCTTTACCTGCTGCAGGTAGTGGATGACAGCCCCAATGGCCTCCTTCATGATGCTCACGAGCTGTACCTTCTGGGGTTCCTTAAGCAGTGACTGCTCACAGCGGGTGCACTCCTGGATGCCCAACTCCATGAGGGCATAGCAGGCGGTCACTACATCCTCTTTTACCTCTGTGCCTGTCTCCTCCAGGGCCAGTCGCACCTCCACGCACGCCAGGTTCACCAGCAGGGACAGGAACTTGCTCCCGGAGTTGCCCGCCGGGATCCAGTCGGAACCACAGGCATGAGCCAGGCGGGCTGCCAGCTTCAGCGCAGGGTTACGCTGCCAGGAACTCAGCTTGCTTCCCAGGATGCGTGCCAGCCCGGCCTGCAGATCCCGGAGGCATTCAGGGGGCACGGTTGTCGGGGGCAGGAAGATGGGCAGCAGCTGGCAGAGCTCGAACTTGCTGGCATCCTCGGCTTTCTGGAAATCCTCACTGAGGCCCCGCAACACGGCTAGTAGGTCGGGCTCCGCCTCCTTCCAGCACTGGGTCTCGGCAGCAGCCAGCAGCCCTACAAGGAGCGCTAGGGCCTGGTCGAAGCCGTAGCCGTGCCCTAGGTAGGCCTGGCACAGGGCAGACACGGTGCCCCCCGCAATGAGGTGCCGGGGCCCTCGGGGCGTGCCTGCTACGGCCGTCAAACACTGGTAGGTGTCGTCAACCATGGAGCGGCGGGCAGCGTCATCGGGGTCTCCCCTGGCTGTGAGGAAGGTGCTAAGGATGGGGATCTTGTTCAGAACCTGGGGATGGGCGGCCAGTTCAGGGTCGCTGCAGAAGCAAGCCAGCAGGGCCACGCCCAGCGCCCGGAGAACGTGGTCCGGGCAGCCATCGGGTGCCTCCTTGGTGGTCAGCAGACGGTTGGGAAAGGTGAAGCCGACAGCATCGAAGATCCGCCGCCGAGTTTTGGCGTCGATGTCTCCTGCTTTCACTGCCTTGGTCACCTGGGTGGGGTGGGGAGCAATATGTGCTGTCAGTGGGAACAAGTGGCAGCCACTGTCCCTGCCTGGCACCCTGGGGTGCGGAGGGCCGGCAGGAGTGGGTTATGCAAACAGATCTCTGGCAACAGACGGGGTGACCTCTTGAGAGTCCCTTCAGTTAAGAATCATCTCACAGAAGTGGCGGGGTGGGGTTGGGGGACCTTGAAACCCTCCTCCTCCACTCCTTTGGCTTTTGGGCAAAGTTCTACTAAGATGCCCCCAACCTTGGCTGGGAGGGGCTCAGAACTTCGTGCTTTGAGTGCCTCAGGGATTTGGGGTCCTTCTATGGGCTCCCTCCAGAGAAGTCTCTGATACATTTCCGTCACCTTCTCGAGGTGGGGAATGGCTCCTGTGTCTCGCCGCCCTGCCTGTCAAAACATTTTCCCTTCCATTTCACCTAAACACCTCCTCTGCTGCAGTGTGAGCCCTTGACTCCACAGCCTTCTCCCTGTTGCCATGGCAAACAAGCAGTGGCTGTACTCCCTCCTCCCTTCACCCCCCACACACCAACACCCCCCCCCCCAGCACTGCAGCTCTCGCTCTGCTGTCCCCAGCTTGGGTGTCTCCAGCGGCAAGCTGAGTCCCGAACCCCTACCCTCTGTTCTTCTGCCCAGTCTCTCGGACCCCTCCTCAATCATTTCCAGCTGGGCCTCTCTGCACAACAACCGTTTCCCAACCCTGCAGAACTGTGCACATCGCTACCTGCTGCTGTTACCCTATGAGTCAGTTCCCCACCTGCTCTGGGATGCTCCAGAGAGCAGACGCAGGCAGCCTCCTCCAGGGCCCCCAGCCCAGTGTCAGTGCTTTATAAAGCAACTCCCCCCACCCGCTTCACCCTTTATCCCTTCTGTGCTCATTCTCAGGGGAGTAAGAAAAAAGCAAAAAGTACAGACAGGGTCTTGGGTGTCTGCAGTGCTGCCAGCAGCACCTCCATGTCCTCGGGGAATCCTGACCCCATTCCTAGGGGGCCCCTCCACCCAGCTCTTCCCACTTCCCGGTTTTCCGCCAGTTCCTTACTAGCAGCAGGGCTGCAAACTGCTCGCTGTCATTCTTGGCCTCCCGCAGGGCTCCCAGGTACCGCTCCAGGGTGGGGTTTCGGCTCTCTGCCTGGTTCAGAGCTGGCTCGCAATCCGAGGCCATGATGCCCGCCTTGCCCAACTGTGAACACAAGAGGGACTGAGCATCCCTCTGCAGAGGAGGGGCGGAGGCGGGGGCGGGGGTGGGAGTGGAGGCTGCAGGGAGGGCTGAGCACAGAGGGAGGGGAGGGGAGGATCTGGAGGCCGGCTCCTTCTGGGGGTGGGGGTGGGGGGGGACCTCTGCTAGGAGGGCTGGACCTGCAGATCCTTAGGGATGAGGAAGGGACCCTGAACCAAGGTCACCTACAGGAAGTGGGGAAGGGAGGACCAAGCGCCCTGCTGCTCAGCCTGAACGCATCTCCTGGGGAGAGAAGGGGCTGGCCCCCTTGGCAGCAGAGGCCAGGTTTGGTGGCAGCACACAGGAAAGTGAGTGGGGAGGACAGACAGGAAGGAATGGAGACATACAGGACGAAGTTTGATTTGGCAGACTTGGGTTGACAAGGGAGGGTGGAGGGGAGATGGGAAAGGGCATCCTAGGCTTCGCTCCTTCAGAGGCGGCAAGAAATGAGCTCCAGCAACACTGAGAATATGAAGTCACACCAGAGAAGGCGGCGGGGCCCCTCCAGGAAGCTCACCCCTCCAGCCAGGGCGCTCAGCCGCCCCCGCAGGCTCCTCGCATCCTCTCCTTTCCCTCCCTCGGGCAGAAGCTGCAGCAGCAGCAGTAGCAGCAGCGGTGGCGGTGGCAGTGGCAAGCAGCAGCGGCAGAAGCAGCAGAATTAACCCCTTGCCCACCCTCTCCTTGCCCTCCCCATCCCACTCCCAGCCTGTGGATACCAGCAGGGACCGAAGAAGCAAAAAGTAGGGGGACGGGAACAGGGAGAGGGTCCCAGGTAGCTTCTGAGACAACAGAGCATCCAAGAGCTGGGTAATCAAAGCGAGGTGGCCGAGATGGGGAGATGAGGAGGGAAGAGGGTTTCTGGCGGTCACCACCTGTCCCGCCGCAGCCAGGTCACAACACGACATTGATGAAGTCACGACAGGGCAGCGATGAGGTCACACTTCACGATGGCGTGGAGATGTCACGGAGAGATCACAGCAAAATCACGACATGGGGAGGAGGCACAGCCCCCAAAGGGGATAGGGAAAATTATTATTCTTTTTTTTAAAAAGATACTGAACAGGGCTGTGACAAAATGGAGTCTTGACAGGGCACGGTGATGTCGCGATATGGCGCGATGGAGTCGCGATAGGGTCCCCAGGGTGTGTCGGCATCGATCAGCGCCGGCTCCGAGAGACTCCGGCTGGGATGCAGGGGAGGGTCTGAAGGGGGCTGAGCTCACCAGGCTGAGGCCCCGAGCTGCGAAGTCTCCTCCAGGCGCGATGCTCCAGGAGCTTGGGGCCGCTGCTCACGCCGCGTTGCCCACTCCAGGCTCCAGGCTGCTGCAGCTCCACCCCCACCCCCGCAGCGCGCCCGACCAATCCGGAGCCGCCTCACTCCGAACGCTGGCCAATGGCATGGCGGGGCGCTAAGCCGCAGGGGGCTGCCGCCGCGTCCGCCATCTTGCTTGTGGGCATTGCCCGAGTCTGGTGCCTAGGACTCGTGCGCTTAAGACGTAAAGTGTGTAGACTTCCTCAGGAGAGCGGGAAGCGAGAGGCTGGGGGCCCAGACTCCTTCGCCTGCGTGCGTAGTCCTAGCTCTTCTGGACCGCCCCTCCTCCCCCTCGGGCTCGCGGCTGGAAATTGCTCTTCCGGGGAGGTGGGTGCGGGAGGCTGTGCTTCCGGGTGCAGGTGGGAGGAGGCTACGCTTCCGGCCTCCGTCGCTGTCCAGGGATACTGAGGCGAGAAGGGAGCTGTCCGGGTGGGGAGGCCGCACTGCTTTATTCCTCCTTCCCCTGGGTGAGGGGAATGAAGGTTGGGAACCCCGAACCCATGGAGCGGAAGGAGGCGGAGGCTGTCGAGAGCCGGGGCCCCGCTAGGTGGCCGTGAGCCCCCGGTAGGTGGCCGGAGGCGGCTGGCTGCTTGGCCGAGGACCACGAGCTAGGGGAGGGGTAGACGGGGACGGGTCATGTCTGGGGGTGCGCTGGCCGGGAGTTGGGACTCTTGGCCCGGGCAAGGGGCAGCCTGCTGCTGGTGGCCTTGCAGGTGCGGAGCTTGGGTCCCCAGCAGGAACCCTGATTCTTTGGTAGCCTGGGCCTGGTCCTCTCTCCCTCTCTCTCTCTCTCCATTCCCTGACAATCCAGCGAGCCGACAGGGCACTGCTTTTCCACCTTCAGACTCTGCAGCCTGGCCCTGGGGTGTTGGGGCTCCCCCGCCACCCCCAGATCAAAAGTTTATGCAGAATTAGGGGGCGGGGTTGAGCACAGTGTGGACCATCAGAGGCCAGAGCCGCCTCTGTCAGGGGGTCCTTCCGAGGGTCTTGTGGTGGCTGCAGTGAAAACAAAGGTGACAGTCACCCATGGGGCGACTCTATCGACCTGACGACAGATGCCAGTCGCTTGAGAGCCTTAGCCGAGGCTCCCGGTGCTTTCGAACATGACGAACAGTCTGGAAACTAAGGAACAAATAGGAAAGACGACCTCCCAGAACAATCTGTTCATCTTTCCAGCTATTTGGAAAACAGTGTTTGCAAATATAAGCAAAGCTACTCATGGCAGTCTGTTCTGTAACTTTCCCGAATATCTGAAACCCTTTTTTTTTTTTTTTCTGAAAAGCTTTCTTCTGGATTACTCATACCAGCTAAATAGGCTGTTTCAGACGCGCTCTCTCGTTATTCAAACATATCTTATCGCTGTGTACATAAATGGAGTTCCACGTATGTAGCTGACAGACTGAACTATGATACATCCCCCATGAACCTGCAGCATGAAGTAAACATAACCCCTGCTCCGTCTCAACAGCTGCTGCACCAGCAAGTGCTTTTATTTCGGGTGTGCTTGTAACGCCCTAAATGCCAGAACCATCGCGAAGTTCTTGGTGATTTTCGTATGTTAAGTACTGTGGGTGTGTGTGTGTGTGCTCTCCCTGGCTTGTTACCCTTTGATGGGATCTTGGCAGTGCTGATCAGCAGAGCAGGGATGTGTGTCCTTGGGCCACTGAGGGTTTCAGAGGAGTGAGACAAGGGGTTGGCAATCCCCCCTGACATTAGATGTGCTGTTTTTCACTTACTGCCTTCAAGACGTGACCCTGTTAATCAGCCAGCTGGCCAAACAGCATTTATCACTGCTGTTTCCCAAACCTGTTCATTTCTCTTCTGCGTTGCCCGCCCACCTGCCAGGCTATTGATGACAGATGTTGAGTCACCTTGAGTTTTTAAATCCCTCTGTGGTAGGAAGAAATGTGTTGGGTGAGAGACATACACGGGGGGCACACTCCCCCATTCCCTCTTGGGAGGCTATAGAAGTTGCTGGTTAGACTTTCTAACTTTGCTTCATTTCATAATCTCTTGAACGTGTCTGGCCCACACACCTCCTTCCTGTTCCCATCCACCCTCCTCCCTCGCTTCCAGCTGCAAAACAACTAGAACTGGCTGTGGCTGGTAGTGCGTGAAAGCAATGCTGGCCTTTAAACGCTTGTGGTTCTCTGGATGGAAGCCTTATCGTGGGTGGACTGCACCTCAGTCTTGCAGCTGTGTGTGTGTGTGTGTGTGTGTGTGTGTGAGTGTGTGAGTGAAAGAGAACGAAAGAGAAAGTGTCTGCTTCCTGGTATTCATGTTGGTATCAGTGCAGGCAATGCTGAGCTCCCTGTGTGTTGGCTAAGGAGTTGTGAGCCTGTGCGGTTTCCAGAATATGTGATGGGGGCATATTTGGAACACATGTTTGAATAGCTTCTTTAGAACTCACCCAACTCTCATGGTGTTACCATGATTTATGTATCTTAGATAGTATAGCCAAGTTGTGTATCTAGGCAGAAACTTCTGAAAAAGTCAGTTCTTCTGGCAGGAACCTCCTATCCAGCTGCTAGATTCTAAACTAGCCAGCACTGTGACTGGCATAAATAGTGAATGTATGTGTGTGTGTGTGTGGATTTAAAGCAGGAATTGTAAATTACCTTAAGGGGAAGGAGTAACATTGAAATACAAATTGCATAGATTTTAAAGATCATAATTGTAGAGATAGTAGCAAACTGGAGACTGAATGTCCTGTCTAAATAGTAATCCTATTGGAGTTGGCATTGTGGTGGAGCAGGTATCTGATACAGGGGCTGGTTTGTGGCCCAGCTGCTTCACTTCTAATCCAGTTGTTTACTAATGGCAGTAGATGGTTCAAGTGTTTAGGTGCCTGCCACCTGACTGAGAAACCCAGATGAAGTTCCTAGCTCCTGGTTTTGACCTGGCCCAGCACTGGCAGTGTGGCCATCTTGGAAATGAACTAGCTAATGGTAGATCTGTCTCTTGCTCTCTTTTTGAAATAAATAAGCCTTTACAAAAATTATTCCAATTAAAATAATTTAACAACACTGGGCCAGATAAAATCCTGAGGTAATTTAAATGAGGCCCAACCTCTTTTCCTAGATAAGGAAGTCCATTTGGTCAAAGTCATGAAGCAGACCTAGAACTGGAGCTCTGGTCTGGTGCTCTTTCTGTTCTGCCAGGTAGATGAGTTGCTGTTAGAATATAACAGAAAACAAAGTGTTTCAGTATTACAGTGGATTCTGTTCAGGATCCCTTGCTACATTGTTATTCTGATAATTACAGGCTGTGTCAAAGCACAGGTTTAAAATTTATGGGCAGGGATGAATACTGAAAGACAAACTGGAAATTTTTGTTCTCCCTAATCTGTCACATTTTCAAGCACTCCGCATTTCCAGGAATCAATTATTAATTACTTGGCATATAACTTCTCCCTCTGTCTTTCTAGTGTACTGATTGCGCTCGTCTGGGAGGCCATGGAGAAGAGGCTGGGAGCGATGCCAGTTCCGGCTTCCTGGATTTTATCAGGATGTTGTTGGCAGTCAACGGTGAAGTGGTTGAGAAGCTTGTACCTGTTTTATGCTTGCTTCTGCTTCAGCGCTCTGTGCTCGTCAACAGGTACCGATTTCTTCACAGAGATTGGAGGACCCTGCGGGAGCCCCTGGGTTCACTGTACACTCCGTTAAGAGGCAGAAGAACATGCTGGTGAACATGATATGTAGCTTGTTGGGTTTCTTTGCTTTGTTGTAGAACTAGAGTTCACATCAGATTCTTTCTTGTAGGGGTAAATAGGCATAATCATTCTGAGTCTTCTTTTGTTTAAAGACTTATTACTAATTGTAAAGGCAAATTAATAGAGAGAAGGAGAGACAGAGAGAAAAATCTTTATCTGCTGATTCACTCACCAAAGTGGCTGCAGTGGCTGGAGCTGAGCCAATCTGAAGCCAGGAGCCTGAAGCCTACTTCCAGGTCTCCCACACGGGTGCAGGGTCCCAGAGCTTTGGGCCGTCCTCAACTGCTTCCCCAGGCCACAAGCAGGGAGCTGGATGGTAAGTGGAGCAGCTAGGACATGAACTGGTGCCCATATCACTTTGAGGTTTGATAAAGCTGTAGTCAGAGAAGAGACTTTTAGAGTTGCAGTGTCTGGGTTGGAGAACTGAAAGTTTCTATTTGATGACTGAAACCTTGAGCAAGTCACCTCATAATTTTGAGGAAGGATAAGATCTACCTCACTTGATTTGAGGGATAATATAACTCAGGCATGAACTTAGGAGCTTAATAAAGACCTTGCTTTCTTTTCTAGAGAAATCTACACTTAGAGGGAGAATGAGTTCCTTGCCTTTTCCATACAAAAGGCGAATGTTAAGAGGTTTCATGGAGTTTGCTTTCCTCCTTCACCCTGCTAGAGCTTCTTGCCAGGAAGCAGTGCCAAAAGGGTTACATTTCAAAGGAAATCCCTTTTCTGTCCATCCTTCTTTTGTTGACATTGTTCCTGTCAGAGTCTGGAGTGTGAGAAAACAGCAGTTGGAGAAAGGCTTCCCAGTTCTGCCCAGTGACCAGAGGCCTTCTGTAGAAACCACTGTTGATAAGGAGTCAACCTCTGCTCCCATAATTGTAAAGGTTTCTGTTGCTTTCCCGAAGGAGTTGGCGGTCATGATCTTGAAAGCCAAGTAATTACTGTGTGTAGCAATTTCAGTAGCCTCAGCTTTGGGGTTTTTGTTGACCCGAGTGTTGATTGATGATTGCATAATTATAACCATGGAAATTGCAGTTGACAGAAAGCTGACCCAGATATTTTTTTACCCCAGATGATGGTTTGCTGGGACAGCTGGCTATTTCAGGTCCATATTTTATATAAAATCATTTGAATTAAATATGTAACTGATTTAGTACCATCAGTAGGAGAATCACACCTTTTTGAAGTGTACTGGCCGCATGCCAGACTCTTGATTATAAATATTATGCATCTCATTTATTCCACATGGTAACTGTGAAATAGTTTTATTCTCATTTTATAGATAAGGAAATTGAGGCCCTGAGAGACAAAATGATTTGATCAAGGACTCACAGAACATGTGAGAGCCAGGATTCTAGACCAGGGACATGTCCACTTAAAGTCTGCAGTTTCTCTTCTTCTTCTCTGGCTGTAGCCACAGGTGCTCTTTTGAAAGACAGCTTAAGTGTTTACCTGAAAGCGTGACAGGCAGCTTGTTACCAGAAGGATTCAAAGTGTATGAGAGGTCAAAATGACAAAAATGATGAGTGCTGACAAGGATGTGAGTGCAAGGGGAACGCCTGTGTCCTGCTGGGAAGAATGTAAGTTAGTACAGCATTGTAGGGAACAGTATGGAGGATCTGCAGAAAACTAAAAGTAGATCTACTGTCTGATGCCGCTATCCCACACCTGGGTATACGTCCAAGCAGATGAAATGAGTTTATGTGAGAGGTAACTGTACCTTCATGTTCTTTGCAGCACTGTTCACAACAGCCAGGATGTGGACTCAACCTAGGTGCTCGTCAGTGGGTGAATGAGTAAAGAAACTCTGGGTGTATATATATGTATATTATATACACCCATATAATGTATAATATATATATATACAGCAAAATGCATGATGGACCTGGGGAGCAGTATGCTAAGTGAAATGAGCCTGGCACAGAAAGACGAATGCTACATGTTCTCTCTCATAATGTGAGAACCAGTCGGTTGATCTGAATATAGAATAGTGATTATTAGAAGCTGGAAAGGGTGTGGAGGGCAGGGAGGAGAGAGGGAGGTTGGGTAAAAGGTACCAAATTGCAGATAGAAGGGAAAGTCCCAGAGTTCTACAGCACAGCAGGGCAGCTGTAGTTCAAAATAATTTCTTTTCTGAAGAATTAGTAGAAATCAAAGCCTTCAAACATAAGGAAAGGACGTGGAGATGGAAAGGCTAATCAGGCTGATTTGATCAGTACCCAGTGTGAACATGCAGTAAAACATCACACTGTACTCCATAAATATGTACAATTTTTTTTGTTCATCATAAAGGAATAAAATGACCCAGCACAGGAAAGAAGAAGCGACTTTAAGTTTGTTTTTTGTATCTACCAGCCTAGCATTTGGATAAAAACCACGTGTGGGTTTGCAGGACAAGTCTGTAGTAACGCTTGAACTTGAATCTTAAAAACATCCTATAACTTAAAAGCATCATTCACATGATGGAAACAAAAACAATATATGTCAGATTTTTAAAGTTTTATCACAGCTCTTTCATGTTAATTCATTAAAAAAAAAAAAACCTGATTAAAAAAGTTGAGCAAAGGATGTAAACAGGAAAGTCCATAAGTAAGAAATTTAAAGGGAGCTAACTGAAGTCCTAGCTGCACTTTTGATTCCCACTTCCTGCTGAGCGTGTACCCTGGTAGACAGCAGGTAATGGCTCAGGTACTTGGATCCTTGGCACCCATGTGGGAGTCCTGGAAGAAGCTCCTGGCTCCTGGCGTCAGATTGGCTCAGCTCCAGCCATTGCAGCCAGTTGGGGAGTGAACCAGTGGACGGAAAATCTTTCCCTCTGCCTCTCCTTCTCTCTGTGGATCTGCCTTTCCAATAAATAATAAATAAATCTTTAAAAAATCCCCACAATTTATTGCTTATTTTAAAACAGCTTGAGGAGAGGATTTTGAATGTTTTTAACACAAACAGTGAATGTTTGAAGTGATAGATATGCTAATTGCCTTGGTTTGATTGTTACACACTGTATCCATATGTCAAAGTATCACACTATATCCCATAAATTTGTACAATTGTGTCAATTAAAAATGAAAAATGTGTAGTATACTGGAAAACATATCTGAAGGGTTTAATTCGTATTACTAACCAAAGAATTGTCAATTAAAATGAAAATTCCCCTTTATATCATTAATAAAGAGTAAATATATAATGCTCTTAAAGAGTAGTGTCCTCAGACAGTGCTGTGGAGTGTGAAGACAGCATAAAAGGTTTGCTTATTCATTTTTGTTTTTTTTGAAAAGCAGAGTGAAAGAGAGTGAGACAAGAAGGAATCTGTATGCAGGTTCACTCCCCAGGACTGAGCTGGTGGACACGGGAGCCCAGAACTCAATCCCGGTCTCCCACAAAGGTGTCAGGAGCCCAGACACCTGCTGCCTGTCAGGGAGTGCATTAGTAGGGAGTTGGAACTGCAAGTGCAGTGGGAACTTGAGTGCAGGCCCTTTGGCAGTGGAACTCGGGCCCTTCCTCTTGGGCAGCTTTGGCTTGGAGCTTTTGTTCGCGCCTTCCCTCCTCTGGCACCCTGTACTGCCTTCTGGAGACCCCGCCCTTGTCTGCCTTAAGTTACATCGTGCTCCTCTTGGTTCGCTTGCGGTTGATGATGTGCTGTATTTTTTAGCTGTTTTTCCTTCACTCCTTTCTCAGTGTGTTCTTTCAACATCTTGTTCTTCAGGGTTTTGTTTTAAATGTTTCTTTTTTTTTTCCACCAAGGATTCTTTTTTTTTTTAAGCTTTATTTATTTAAAAATCTTTTTAAAGATTTATTTTATCTATTTTATTATTATTTTTTTTTTTTTTTGGAAAGTCAGATATACAGAGAGAGGGAGGAAAGATCTAATGTCCATTGATTCAATCTCCAACTGGCCACGATGCCCAGAGCTGAGCTAGTCTGAAGCCAGGAGCCCAGAACCTCTTCTGGATCTCCCACATGAGTGTAGGGTCCCAAGGCTTTGGGCCGTCCTCGACTGCTTTCCCAGGCCACAAGCAGGGAGCTGGATGGAAAGCAGGGTCACCAGGATTAGAACCGGCGCTCATATGGGATTCTGGTGCATGCAAGGCGAAGACTTTAGCCATTAGGCTACTGCGCTGGGACCTTGCTAAAGGTGTAACCTGTGTGCTAACTACCCCCAAAACTATAGATGTTCCAGAGCTGCAGACAGAATAGCCACTATGTCTCATGTCTCCAGCTGGGCAACTCTTAGCTGCATCTGAGCTCGTGGTCTTTTCCCCTTTTCTTCCCTGTTCCCTCTCACCATGGAAGGACCACCTCCCCTGTAGTCTGATGTAGAGGTCACTGAATTCTCCCCTGGTTTCTCTCCTCCGCTGCCTGTGTCCCTCACGTGTCTGTGCAGAGTGCTCCGTTCCTCTGCATGTGTCATCTCCACCCTGCCTGATGTGTTCTGATTCAGGTAAACAGCCCCTGTCTGATGCTTTGCCCAAGACTGCTGCTGGGCGCTGCTTTCATGCTGCCTGTGCATCTCTGTTCTGTGTGTGGTTTCAGGGCTGGTGAGCAGGAGTTGCAAGCAGGGCTTGTTCTTGGACATGGCCTTCACTTAGGAAGTGAGACCTTTCTGATGTTTCTGCTGGTATGTGGTGTTGAAGTCACCTCTTTGCTCTGGTGGGGCCTGCGTTCTAGCACGCTTCTATCTTCTGCTCCCGGCAATGTTGTTTTTACTTGTAGGGGTTCTGTTTTCTGCTCACTGTTAGGCAGTGTAAAGCCTCTTGGTGTAAGAAGCTGCTGCTTTGCTAAGTCAAGGCCATTAGGAAATTCCACCTAAGTCAGGATGAGTCAGGGTTGCAAGCCCTATCTATAGAATACACTCAGGTGCAGGTGGACAGTGGTGTAATCGCCG